ACCTGCCAGGTACACCCTACACCTGCCAGGTACACCCTACACCTGCCAGGTACACCTTACACCTGCCAGGTACACCCTACACCTGCCAGGTACACCCTACACCTGCAAGGTACACCCTGCACCTGACAGGTACACCATACACCTGCCAGGTACACTGTACACCTGACAGGTACACCGTACACCTGACAGGTACACCGTACACCTGCCAGGTACACCCTACACCTGCCAGGTACACCCTACACCTGCCAGGTACACCCTACACCTGCAAGGTACACCCTACACCTGACAGGTACACCATACACCTGCCAGGTACACCGTACACCTGCCAGGTACACCCTACACCTGCCAGGTACACCGTACACCTGCCAGGTACACTGTACACCTGACAGGTACACCGTACACCTGCCAGGTACCCCCTACACCTGCCAGGTACACCCTACACCTGCCAGGTACACCCTACACCTGCAAGGTACACCCTACACCTGACAGGTACACCATACACCTGCCAGGTACACCCTACACCTGCCAGGTACACCCTACACCTGCCAGGTACACCCTACACCTGTCAGGTACACCCTACACCTGCCAGGTACACCCTACACCTGTCAGGTACACCCTACACCTGCCAGGTACACCCTACACCTGACAGGTACACCGTACACCTGCCAGGTACACTGTACACCTGCCAGGTACACCGTACACCTGTCAGGTACACCCTACACCTGACAGGTACACCCTACACCTGACAGGTACACCCTACACCTGACAGGTACACCGTACACCTGCCAGGTACACCCTACACCTGCCAGGTACACCCTACACCTGACAGGTACACCGTACACCTGCCAGGTACACTGTACACCTGCCAGGTACACTGTACACCTGCCAGGTACACTGTACACCTGCCAGGTACACTGTACACCTGCCAGGTACACCCTACACCTGACAGGTACACCCTACACCTGACAGGTACACCGTACACCTGCCAGGTACACTGTACACCTGCCAGGTACACTGTACACCTGCCAGGTACACTGAACACCTCCCAGGTACACTGTACACCTGCCAGGTACACCCTACACCTGACAGGTACACCCTACACCTGCCAGGTACACCCTACACCTGCCAGGTACACCCTACACCTGACAGGTACACCTTACACCTGCCAGGTACACCCTACATCTGCCAGGTACACCTTACACCTGCCAGGTACACCCTACACCTGCCAGGTACACTGTACACCTGACAGGTACACCCTACATCTGCCAGGTACACCCTACATCTGCCAGGTACACCTTACACCTGCCAGGTACACCCTACACCTGACAGGTACACCGTACACCTGCCAGGTACACTGTACACCTGCCAGGTACACTGTACACCTGCCAGGTACACTGTACACCTCCCAGGTACACTGTACACCTGCCAGGTACACTGTACACCTGCCAGGTACACTGTACACCTGCCAGGTACACCTTACACCTGCCAGGTACACCCTACACCTGCCAGGTACACTGTACACCTGCCAGGTACACCCTACACCTGACAGGTACACCCTACACCTGACAGGTACACCCTACACCTGACAGGTACACTGTACACCTCCCAGGTACACTGTACACCTGCCAGGTACACTGTACACCTCCCAGGTACACTGTACACCTCCCAGGTACACTGTACACCTGCCAGGTACACTGTACACCTGGCAGGTACACTGTACACCTGGCAGGTACACTGTACACCTGACAGGTACACTGTACACCTGCCAGGTACACCCTACACCTGCCAGGTACACCCTACACCTGCCAGGTACACCATACACCTGCCAGGTACACCCTACACCTGCCAGGTACACCCTACACCTGCCAGGTACACCCTACACCTGCCAGGTACACCCTACACCTGCCAGGTACACCCTACACCTGCCAGGTACACCCTACACCTGCCAGGTACACCCTACACCTGCCAGGTACACCCTACACCTGCCAGGTACACCCTACACCTGTCAGGTACACCCTACACCTGCCAGGTACACCCTACACCTGCCAGGTTCACCCTACACCTGCCAGGTACACCCCTACACCTGACAGGTACACTGTATATCTGCCAGGTACACCCTACACCTGCCAGGTACACCCTTCACCTGCCAGGTACCCCCTACACCTGACAGGTACACCTTACACCTGCCAGGTACACCCTACACCTGCCAGGTACACCCTACACCTGCCAGGTACACCCTACACCTGCCAGGTACACCCTGCACCTGCCAGGTACACCCTACACCTGCCAGGTACACCCTACACCTGTCAGGTTCACCCTACATTTGCAAGGTACACCCTACACCTGCCAGGTACACCCTACACCTGTCAGGTACACCCTACACATGCCAGATACACCCTACACTTGCCAGGTACACCCTACACCAGCTAGGTACACCCTACACCTGCCAGGTACACCCTACACCTGCCAGGTACACCCTACACCTGCCAGGTACACCCTACACCTGCCAGGTACACCCTACACCTGCCAGGTACACCCTACACCTGCCAGGTACACCCTACACCTGCCAGGTACACCCTACACCTGCCAGGTACACCCTACACCTGCCAGGTACACCCTACACCTGACAGGTACACCATACACCTGCCAGGTACACCCTACACCTGCCAGGTACACCCTACACCTGCCAGGTACACCCTACACCTGCCAGGTACACTGTACACCTGACAGGTACACCGTACACCTGCCAGGTACCCCCTACACCTGCCAGGTACACCCTACACCTGCCAGGTACACCCTACACCTGCAAGGTACACCCTACACCTGACAGGTACACCATACACCTGCCAGGTACACCCTACACCTGCCAGGTACACCCTACACCTGCCAGGTACACCCTACACCTGTCAGGTACACCTTACACCTGTCAGGTACACCTTACACCTGCCAGGTACACCCTACACCTGTCAGGTACACCCTACACCTGACAGGTACACCGTACACCTGCAAGGTACACTGTACACCTGCCAGGTACACCGTACACCTGTCAGGTACACCCTACACCTGACAGGTACACCCTACACCTGACAGGTACACCCTACACCTGACAGGTACACCGTACACCTGCCAGGTACACCCTACACCTGCCAGGTACACCCTACACCTCACAGGTACACCGTACACCTGCCAGGTACACTGTACACCTGCCAGGTACACTGTACACCTGCCAGGTATACTGTACACCTCCCAGGTACACTGTACACCTGCCAGGTACACCCTACACCTGACAGGTACACCCTACACCTGACAGGTACACCGTACACCTGCCAGGTACACTGTACACCTGCCAGGTACACTGTACACCTGCCAGGTACACCCTACACCTGACAGGTACACCCTACACCTGCCAGGTACACCCTACACCTGCCAGGTACACCCTACACCTGACAGGTACACCTTACACCTGCCAGGTACACCCTACACCTGCCAGGTACACCTTACACCTGCCAGGTACACCCTACACCTGCCAGGTACACTGTACACCTGACAGGTACACCCTACATCTGCCAGGTACACCCTACATCTGCCAGGTACACCTTACACCTGCCAGGTACACCCTACACCTGACAGGTACACCGTACACCTGCCAGGTACACTGTACACCTGCCAGGTACACTGTACACCTGCCAGGTACACTGTACACCTCCCAGGTACACTGTACACCTGCCAGGTACACTGTACACCTGCCAGGTACACCTTACACCTGCCAGGTACACCTTACACCTGCCAGGTACACCCTACACCTGCCAGGTACACTGTACACCTGCCAGGTACACTGTACACCTGCCAGGTACACCCTACACCTGACAGGTACACCCTACACCTGACAGGTACACCCTACACCTGACAGGTACACTGTACACCTCCTAGGTACACTGTACACCTGCCAGGTACACTGTACACCTCCCAGGTACACTGTACACCTGCCAGGTACACTGTACACCTGGCAGGTACACTGTACACCTGGCAGGTACACTGTACACCTGACAGGTACACTGTACACCTGCCAGGTACACCCTACACCTGCCAGGTACACCCTACACCTGCCAGGTACACCATACACCTGCCAGGTACACCATACACCTGCCAGGTACACCCTACACCTGCCAGGTACACCCTACACCTGCCAGGTACACCCTACACCTGCCAGGTACACCCTACACCTGCCAGGTACACCCTACACCTGCCAGGTACACCCTACACCTGCCAGGTACACCCTACACCTGCCAGGTACACCCTACACCTGCCAGGTACACCCTACACCTGCCAGGTACACCCTACACCTGCCAGGTACACCCTACACCTGCCAGGTTCACCCTACACCTGCCAGGTACACCCTACACCTGACAGGTACACTGTATATCTGCCAGGTACACCCTACACCTGCCAGGTACACCCTTCACCTGCCAGGTACACCCTACACCTGACAGGTACACCTTACACCTGCCATGTACACCCTACACCTGCCAGGTACACCCTACACCTGCCAGGTACACCCTACACCTGCCAGGTACACCCTGCACCTGCCAGGTACACCCTACACCTGCCAGGTACACCCTACACCTGTCAGGTTCACCCTACATTTGCAAGGTACACCCTACACCTGCCAGGTACGCCCTACACCTGTCAGGTACACCCTACACATGCCAGATACACCCTACACTTGCCAGGTACACCCTACACCAGCTAGGTACACCCTACACCTGCCAGGTACACCCTACACCTGCCAGGTACACCCTACACCTGCCAGGTACACCCTACACCTGCCAGGTACACCCTACACCTGCCAGGTACACCCTACACCTGCCAGGTACACCCTACACCTGCCAGGTACACCCTACACCTGCCAGGTACACCCTACACCTGCCAGGTACACCCTACACCTGCCAGGTACACCCTACACCTGCCAGGTACACTGTACACCTTTGAGCGTCACTCACCATGATCAACTGTGGGGGTTTGAGCTTCCTGCGGCCAGACCTGGTGGGCTGCGGCTGCGGCGCAGACTGCACAGACGTGTGCGCCGGCCGCAGTGTTCCAGGGAGCGCACTTGCCACAGGCGGCCAGCTGGCATCCACCGCCGCACCTCACCCGCTTGTTGAAGAAGATAGAGAGTGCCTGGCCGCACCTGCCGCAGCCTCCCGCACCTGAAGCCCCGACACTGCCGCAGCCTCCCGCACCTGAAGACCCGACACTGCCGCAGCCTTCCGCACCTGAAGACCCGACACTGCCGCAGCCTTCCGCACCTGAAGACCCGACACTGCCGCAGCCTCCCACAATGCCACTGAGGGAGAGACAGATGAGCTGGGTGGTGGTGGTGAGAGATGTGAGGTAATTATGAGCAGAAAGATAAGTAAGTAATTATCAAATGAAGTCACCAAATCGGGAAGGCTCTGTAGCACCATCAAATGTGCGGGATAGTCAGAGGGCGCTAAATATCACCAAGGATGCCAATACTAAAGCAGAAACGCATATGGCGAACTATATCAAAAGTATACAATTTACCAAGAATTCTATCAAGGGACAAGTGATCGCGAGGGACGGTCGGAAAGCAAGACACACGCTCGTCCTGGAAGTCAGGACATTCAACAAGGATATGCACGACTGTAAGAGGCACAATGCAATAAAGAGCATGGCAGTGCTCCAGTAAGTGACAGGGAGTTAAGCATCATGGCCAATACACGACCTCGCCAGAGCCGTTTCCCATTGCCAGTTACAGTGGCAGGAGGAAGGCCATGACGACACACTACACTTAAGAGTACGCAGTTTGTTATCAGTAACAGAAGATCAACAATCCTGCCAGCGGGTAAGGATGGAGGAATGAATAACAGGGTAAAAGTCGGAATAAGGAATACCTTTACGGGAGATGGGACAAGAGCGGACAGCTTCCCTAGCGGCAGCGTCCGCACGGTCATTTAAGGACACACCAATATGGCTGGGAACCCAGCTAAACTCAACTGACTTAAATTTACTGGAAATAAGAAACAGCCAATGTTGAATCTCGACGACCACTGGATGGACCGGATTAAAGGACCCAACAGCCACGAGAGTCAACAACAACTACAAAGGAAGATTGACAACGAGAAAGCAGGACATAATAGCATAGAGAATAGCATAAAGTTCTGCTGTGAAGATGCTAGCCTCCAGAGGTACGCGACACACATAAGTGTGGTCAGGAAAAACAACAGAGTAGCCTACACCGTCCGCAGACTTAGACCCATTGGTGAAGATGGAAACAGCGGGAATGCGAAGAAAAGTGCTCAAGGAAAAGACGTTTCAGAACTGTAGGAGGGGTAAAAGCTTTAGTGATGCCAGTCAAGGTTGTACAAAAACTTCAGAAGGGGGACTCTCCACGGGAGCAAGGAAGGAACAATACGAGGAGAAATATTAGAAATATGCACTGATAGAGAATCCTGTAAGCGAGATAACCGGACAGAAAGAGGATGGTGGTGGTGAAGAGGAACAGGAACCACTGGAGGGGTAAAAGTTAAAGAACGACAGAGGCGAGAGGAAGGATGTTGCAAGGACCATGCAAGATATCGATGACAGTAGCTAACACGGTGGTCCTGGAGAGATTGGAAGCCAGTGTCAACATACAAGCTGAGGGCGGGAGTCGAACGAAAGGCACCAGAGCTGAGGAGCAACCCAGTATGGTGCAATGCATCAAGATGGCGAAGAGTAGAAGGAGAAGCAGACAAGTAAGCAGGGCAACCATAATCGAGTTGACACAGGACGAAAGAACAATGTAAAGCGAGGAGAGTGCACCTATCCGCTCCCCAAGAGATATGGGACAATACCTGAAGGAGGGTAACGGCATTAGAGCATTCAACTTGGAGGTAAGATATATGGGGCGACCAAGACAAACGAGTGTCAAAGATTAACTCCAAAAGCTTAGCGGAATCCTTGTACACAAGAGTGTGACCATAAAGCGACAAAGAGGGACGAAGAACAACACGCTTCAACATGCTTGAGTAAAAGTCATAGCACAAGTCTTAGACGTAGAGAACCTGAAGCCATGCTCGGTGGCCCAAGACACGGCATCAATCGCATGTTGAAACTGCCGTTGAAGGAGAGGCAAATCATCACCCCGATGGCAAATGGTACGATCGTCGACATAGAGAGCGGAGAAGATGCCAGAAGGAAGAGAGGAAAGAAGACCATTGAGGGCAACCAAAAAAAATAGTAGTGCACAGAACACTACCTTGGGGCACATCCTCGTATTGCTGAAAAGAGACAGAGAGAGTGGTACCAAGCCTCACTCGAAAGGAACGACGAGAGAGGAACCTTCGGAGAAAGAGAGGGAGATTTCCACGAAGGCCAAAAGAATGAAGTTGGGACAGAATATGATATTGCCAAGTGGTGTCGTAAGCCTTTTCCAAGTCAAAAAGGACGGCAACAACAGAGATCTTCGCAGCAAAAGCAGAATGAATATAAACCTCCAAGTTCACCAGGACATCTGTTGTGCTGTGGCACTTGTGAAAACCAAATTGAGAAGGGGAGAGGAGGTGATGTTGTTCTAAGAACCACATCAGATGAATGTTAACCATACATTCAAAGAGTTTGCAGACACAACTCGTGAAGGCAATAGGGTGGAGGTCCTTATGGGATATGCCAAGAGACCCTGGTTTCCGAACAGGGAGGACAACGACATTGAGCCAGTCCTCAGGGACTGACGACGACCCCTAGACCCAATTATACAGACTCAGTAAATACTGAAACGTGCACGGGGGGGGGGGGGATGACAAAGCATCTCATAATGAATGCCACCAGAGCCCGCCGCCATAGAACCGCAGAGGGCCAGGGCAGACTAAAGTTCAGAGAGAGAAAGGATCATTACAGGGAAGTCTGAGGTGAGTGCAGAAATCTAAAGGACGAGATTCAAGGACAGGTTTATGAAGAAGGAAAGATTGAGGAAGATGAGAACCAGAGTTAACAGAAGAAAACTGGGACTCCAGTTCAGTCGCGACCTGCAACGGGTCCGTTACAAGAGTACCACGAAGGTGAAGGACCGGCGAGACATCGGGAATGAACTTACCCGCTATCTTGAGGACACGCTTCCAGTTCTGCAGCAGAGGAGTTTCGGACGTAATGGGGGAAACACGAGACTTCCAATACTCACGCTTAGCTGTATGGATGGTCCTACAGGCCACCGCACTCGCTTTCCGAAACAAAAGAAAAGAATCAGTCGTCTGCCGGCCGCGGTGTCTCTTCCAGGCTGCACGCTTACAGTGGACAGCACGAGCACAGTCCCCATTCCACCAGGTAACGCACTTCCGTGGTCCCGGAGAGGAAGAGCGAGGAATAGAGCGGAGGGCAGCGTTGGAGACGGTGTCATGAAAAAGGAGGGCCCATGGGAGAGGCAGAATGGAGAGGTCAGCGAGAGCAGCACTGTGGGTAAATAGGTTCCAGTCTGCCTTAGCAAACTGCCACTTAGGAAAGGAGAGGGGAGGGTGAAAAGAGAAAAATGTAACAAGGATGGGGAAATGGTCACTGCCATGGAGATCATCGAGCACCCGCCACGTGAAACCCGAGTAAAGAGACGATGAGCAGAGAGAAAGACCAAACTAAAGTAAACTAAAGTCTTTGAAAATGTAATAAGTTATTACGAAACACGTTCAAGTGTCGCGTCAGACTAGAAATAAAAATGAATTTTGGAGAACTGATTTTTCAATTACCATCGACAGTGAAAAGAACCATAAGAAATATTGAGAAAATTCGTGTTAGAATTATTAATCTTACTTTTTCGGTCATATTTAATAATATATGTCTACAGGAAAGACTGCTACCAAAATATACTATAATAAAATATATGCATAATACAAAAGTTTTTTTTCAAATTTAATTCGTCATAAATCAGGTGCCATTGATGTTTTTACATTGTACGGCATCAAAAGTTCCGTTAAAGTTGTAGCCACCAGACTGAGCCCAGTGATCCCTGACTGCTCTCACTCACATCTTAACCTTCCCGATCCTGTCCTTATATAGCTTGTAAATATATATAGTACATAAACAAAATTATATTATCTAATCTTAAGATTCCTTTGTGGTTGTTAGGTCAGGACTTTTCTTCTATTATAGCAGATAATTGTCTTTAATAATTTTTCCAAGCACTTGGCACATGTTAATAATTTCGTTTGAAGCCTCACCTTGAACTGTATTGTCCATACCTGACACCTAGACATGTACAGGTTCTCTATGCTCTTGTTCAGATCAAGCTTTGTCATCAGGAGTTTTCACCTACTATGTTCTAATTTTTGTGCGCATGCCGAACGGTGTTAATATTCCGCACACCTGAGCATCTTTTAATGTTTATTATGCAATTTCTCATGGAAGCCTTGAATGTATTGAATGCCCAAGAGGTCCTTTTCAATATCATTGTAACTATCTAGCTAGCCATAGCTTGTCGACAAGGGACGTCGACTTGGTAGCATGTCCGAGCGGTGTTAGTATTCAAACTGTACGACGGTTGGGATGTAGCCAATTACAATCAAGTAAGCCTCTGACGTCATTGTCTACAGAGTGCTGGGACTGGCCAGTCCGGTGACCAGTCAGTGTCTCAAGAACCATACATATACAAGAAGGTAATTAATAGAGGGAGGGAGGGGCTAGGGCAGGGGGGGTGAGAGAGGGAGGGCTAGGGAAGGGGGTGAGAGAGGGAGGGCTAGGGAAGGGGGTGAGAGAGGGAGGGCTAGGGAAGGGGGTGAGAGAGGGAGGGCTAGGGAAGGGGGTGAGAGAGGGAGGGCTAGGGAAGGGGGTGAGAGAGGGAGGGCTAGGTAAGGGGGTGAGAGAGGGAGGGCTAGGTAAGGGGGTGAGAGAGGGAGGGCTAGGTAAGGGGGTGAGAGAGGGAGGGCTAGGGAAGGGGGTGAGAGAGGGAGGGCTAGGGAAGGGGGTGAGAGAGGGAGGGCTAGGGAAGGGGGGTGTGAGAGAGGGAGGGCTAGGGAAGGGGGTGAGAGAGGGAGGGCTAGGGAAGGGGGGGTGAGAGAGGGAGGGCTAGGGAAGGGGGTGAGAGAGGGAGGGCTAGGGAAGGGGGTGAGAGAGGGAGGGCTAGGGAAGGGGGTGAGAGAGGGAGGGCTAGGTAAGGGGGTGAGAGAGGGAGGGCTAGGTAAGGGGGTGAGAGAGGGAGGGCTAGGGAAGGGGGTGAGAGAGGGAGGGCTAGGGAAGGGGGTGAGAGAGGGGAGGCTAGGGAAGGGGGTGAGAGGGGGGGAGGGCTAGGGAAGGGGGTGAGAGAGGGAGGGCTAGGGAAGGGGGTGAGAGAGGGAGGGCTAGGGAAGGGAGTGAGAGGGG